CTTGTTCAACTCAAAGGAAAATTGCAATTTTCTATCACTTACTCTCATTTACTCTCTATGTGAAATTTGTTAAATGTGTTGTTTGATTGATCAATTTGTATAGAATTTTTCTTTGATTGTTAAAGTTTTAATTGCTTTGTTAATTACCTTATAATCACTTTGATTGTAAGTTCTTTTTCATATCAACTAAGCTCAAAGAAAATTCTAAAAAATTGATTGCACATGACATGTTCGATAAAGTGTCGAGTTATGTTTTTAATATGATTTCATTAGAAATATGAAACCGTTGTGTTTGATATTAAACTATTAATTGAGATATTATTATGTTGATTGATTTTATCATTACCTTAATTTCATATGGCTTGTGCATATCCGAGTTTTCAATAACTAGGTTCGTTTAGACTACTATTTTGATCTAGGCTAATAAACCTTTCGCTCAACATTGTTTTTCAAATGAGTTTTTAAGTAACCATTTTGAAATGTCAATTTTTAATATAAGCATCTATTCACCCCTCCCTCTAGATGAGTTTCCGTAGTCTAACAAATGTGGTAGATCAGTTGAGAAGAAAACTTGATGATAAGTTGAGTTAAATGATCTTAGTAGGATATCATTCCACAGTAGGTTACAAGTTATTCAATCTAGTAAACAAGCAGATTGTGATCAACAGGGATGTGATCATAGATAAGCTTAAGGAATGGGATTGTAATAAAAATGTAAAATAAGGATTCAGTGATAATATTATGTGAAGTACCAGTAATTGAAGTCGAAAGAGTATAAGTTCGACAAAAAGAAGTTAGAGGTGAAGCATGCCCAAACAGACCTCATAGAACTAGACACATGCCTGCAAGGTTACAAGATTGTGTGATTTCATCAGATGATTTGGTCGATATTGAAGGTGAGCTGGTACATTATGCTTTCTATGCAAATGTCAAACCTATTAATGCAGCTGAGACATTGAAGGGTTCGAAGTAGGTGAAAGCAATGAATGGGGAATTGAAGTCCATTGAAGTCAACAACACTTGGTCATTTGTCGAATTGGCTCAAGGCAAAAAGGCAATCGATGTCAAGTGGGTATACAACGTGAAGTTGAATCACAAAGGGGAAGTAACTCGGCACAAGGCAATACTTGTAGTGAAAGGATTTCTTCTGAAAGAAGGAATAGACTTTGATGAGGTTTTTGCACCAGATGCTAGAATCAAAACAATCAGGTTGATTGTTGGTCTAGAAGAAATGAACAGTTGACACATATGTAAGATGGACGTGAAATATGCATTCTTGAGTGGACCCTTAGACGAAGAAGTTTATGTTGCACAACTAGTTGGGTTTGTGAAACATGGTGAAGAGAGAATCGTGTACAAGCTGCATAAAGCTCTGTATGGACACAAACAAGCTCCAAGGACTTGGAATAAGAAGATTGATAGTTTCCTAAGGGAAAAGGAATTTGTGAAGTGCATAACTGAACATGGAGTATATGTAAGAAGAATCAATAGTGAATTTCTTATACTATGTCTCTATGTCGATGACTTGTTAATAACATGTAACTACAAGAAGGAGACCAAAGACTTAAAAGGTGACCTCAACAAGGAATTTGAAATGCATGATCTGGGTGAAATTTTATATTTCCTTGACATCGAATTCTACAAGAGTAGTAGATATTTGATGATGCATCAAAGAAGATATGCAGGAAAAATTGTCAAGAGATTTAAGATGGAAGAATGCAACTCGACTCCGTCACCTGCTGATCCAAGGTTGTAACTGTTGAAAGACTCGAATGAAGATGATGTCGACCCAACCCAATACAAAAGACTTATTGGGTCATTAAGAGACCTTTTTCACACAAGGTCTGACTTAGAATACAATATAGGTATGGTGAGTAGATTCATGCATAAGTCAAAGGTATCACATCTAGCAGCGACGAAGAAGATACTAAGGTATCTAAAAAGAACTCTTGACTATTACATTCTGTTTCCTGCAAATGATAAAGGAAAAAAATGAAAATTAGTGGGATACACCGACTCAAGTTGGTGTAGTGATGTTAAGGATCGAAAATCCACAGTAGGATATGTGCTTATGCTAGGTCGTGCACCAGTTGCTTGGAGTTAGAGAAAGGAACCAGTAGTGGCATTATCATTGTGTGAAGCATAATACATAGTTGTTTCTCTTTGTGCATGTCAAGTAACTTGTATGGTGAACTTGATCGAAGAGATTATAGAGAAAGATCATGGAGTAATTACCATAAAGATCAACAACATGTCAGCTACCAATTTGGCGAAGAATTCGACAACACATGGTCGAAGTAAGCACATCGAGATGTGGTTCCATTATCTTCGAGAGCAGGTAGCAGATGGGAAGATGAATTTGAAATACTGCAGAACTGAGAATCAGATTGCAGACATCATGACGAAGGGTGTGCAAGTCGAAGTGTTTAGAAGACTAAGAGATATGATGAATATAAATAGCTTAGAGACAATGAATTAGGTGGTGTGTTGAAAGTGTAATTCCTTGCGTCAAAGTAGGTTGTTGCTCGACACAAGTTGTGTCGAAAAGTTTAGTCTGTCGAGTTGTATATAGTTTTGAGCTTTTTGACTTAGGGAGTAAGCTAACTTAAAATTATAAATAGAGGGAGTAACCCCTATTATTATAACAACTTGTATTCACAGAATTTTGCAGTTTCAGAGTGAATAAAGATTTTCTACAGTTTGTGGGCAGAGAGTTACTCTGTAGAAACCCTAATCTCTTTTTTTCTTTGATTTTCTTTTTATTGACATTGTGTGATGATAACAATCTTGTTCATCAAAATTGATAAAAAATTTCCATAAATTTTAAAAGATTTTCAACAAATTCATCCAAACCACTATGTAGTGGAGTGCTAATTGTCCTTAATGCAAGACTAACAAGATTATTCTAGAAAAGAAGGTGTTGATAACTGGAGTGCTATTTTGGATTTGTGTTTAAAGGCTTTTACCATGTTATAACCTTTACTTATTCTTAAGCCAATGGCTATAAGGCAATGTCTACATGCAAACATTATAATAGATGTTCTACAACATCATTCTTATTATAATAGATGTTCTAGCCTTCAACATCATTCTCTTATAAGTACAATTTAATTGATAGCTCCAAATTATCTTTTATAATAACTATTTTTCTATTACTTAATTTAATTATTAATAGGTAATGTTAGAAAGTATTTATGCTGCAAATGAAAATATATTCTAGAAAATATTAAAAGTTAGCATTTCGACTTTTGATTTTTGATTTAATGTGTTTGTAACTTTCAATTTTGTAATTGTAATTTTTGATTTTTTATTAATAATACTCCAAATTATGTGGTCTCTATTTTGCAATTTCAGTTTCATATAATTATTATTAATTTTTAATTATATATACTTTTTTAATTGGTAAAGAAATCTGCCCACAAATTGTAAAAAGAAATTATACTATTGTTTAGTTTATTTGCCCAAATTTCATTAAGAAATTAGTTGAGTTGATTTGGTTTTCATTAAGAAATCTGCCCAAATCAACTAATTTTTTTAATTAATAATTCAATTGTTTAGTCAATTTTCATTAAGAAATTAGTTGATTTGGTTTTCAATTTGAAATTCAATCAATATATTTAAATTCCACACTATTGATTTAGTTTATTATCACATTATATTTGATATTTATTGTTTATTTATATTTTTAAAAATAATAATTTTTTTGATAAAACAATTTTATTTTTATTATATTTTAAAAATAAAAATATACGTAATACACTAATACCAATACACTAATACCGTATCAAAGTACAAATAATTATATGAAAATCCGCGTTCAATATATAAAAAGTAAAAATATATTATATTGGTGTAAAACATTTTTAGTAAAATAATCTTATTTTTCTTTTAAAAATATGTCTTTTTTTCTAAATTTTTTTTGAAAAACATTTTATTTTTCTGATTTATATTTTATTATATTTTAAAAATAAAATGTACATACTACTTTGATATCTGTGCAAAAATACATATAATACGTGCATATGATAATTATATTAAACAACGCCAATAAATTTACTACTGAATAATATACAATTAAGTATAATACTTTTATATACGAAAAAAAATATAAATTGATTTATTATTTTTTTAAAAATAATAAACTATTTTGATTAAATAATTTTATCTTCTTTTCATTTTATTATTTTATTATTTTAAAAATAAAAGCGTGAGTACAATATTTGTGCATACAACACGGATACTTGAGGGAATGTACACATATCCCATTAATTTATATTCTCTCTGTCTCAAAATAATTGTCATATTTAAAAAAATTATTTATCTTAAAATATTTATCACTTTAAATTTTCAATGTAATTTCTATTTTCAATCTCTCTTTTATTTATTATAATTTTTTAATATATATAAAAGTATTAATTATGATAAATATTGTGAGACAAGGGAGTAATAAAAACGGAGATAGTATTAATTATAATGATTAATCAAAAATTAAATTATTTTCTTCGTCTCATAATAAATATCGTATTTGAATAATGTATTATTTTAAAAAAAATATTAGATGAGTTGATTTTAATGAAAAAAATTAATATTATTTATTAAAATATTCTTATTGATTATAATTAATAGAGTAGTTGAATAAAGTGAAAGTTAACAAATAAATGTATAATAGTGAAAAATAATAATAAATAATACATTAAAATTGTAAATAAACAATTATTTAAAAAAAAAAAATGTAAATGAGACCGGATGAAGTATTGTAGAAGCTATCCCATCATGGGAAGAATCCGAAAAGTGGTGTCTTTTTCATGTAACGTTTCAATAGGTCACCAATTTACACACATTAGGTGGCAACGACTCATTAAAAAACGTAAACTCCCTCACTATTGTCCTCTTATCATCCCTATATAAATCTGTCAAAAACAGCTCTTTTCCCTCCCACTCCAACTCTACTACCAAAAACAAAAAGCACTTAAACCAAAACAGCTTTTTTTCCTTTAACCATGGTTGCCATACATAAAAGCCCCGAAGAAGAAGCACCTATCCATGGCGATGTTTTAGAAGCAATATTCTCGCTCGTGCCACTCATCCATCTTGTTCCATCTTGTCACGTGTCAAAAGCATGGAACAGTGCTGTTTTCTCTTCACTCACACACGTTAAACAAATCAAACCATGGCTCATAATTCTCTCCCAGACAACACTCTCTTCGCGCGTGAATATCGCTCACGCTTACGACCCTCGTTCCCACTCCTGGATTAAGATAACTAAACACCAACCGTTGATAAAAAAACACCGTGAAATATCAACCGTTAGATCATCTCACTCAACTCTGCTTTACACGATATCACCTTCGGAATTTACATTCTCACTCGACGCGCTTCATCTTGGCTGGCACCAAGCACCTGCTCCGCGCGTGTGGCGAGTGGATCCAATAGTTGCGTTGGTTGGAAAACGCGTGGTTGTTGCTGGTGGCGCGTGTGACTTCGAGGATGACCCACTTGCGGTAGAGATGTACGATACGGAGAACCACCGCGACTGGATCATGTGTCCTTCGATGCCTGCAACGCTAAAGAGCGCGTCGGCATCGACGTGGATATCAGTCGCCGTCGTCGGAGAAACGATGTACATGACTGAGAAGAATTCCGGCTTGACGTACTCGTTTAATCCAATTACGATGAATTGGGAAGGACCGTACGATTTACGTCCTGACGAGAGCGTATTCTACTCCGTTACCGGTTTGTTATCGGAGAAACTGACGGTGGCCGGTTTGGTGGGTGAACCGGGGAACGTGAGAGAAATAATACTATGGGCGGTTAAGGAGGAATTAGGTTCGGGAATGGAAGAAATAGGTTCGATGCCGAAGGAGATGGTGGAGAAGTTAAAAGGTGATTCGGAGTTTGGTTCGGTGGAAGTGGTTTGGGTTGGTAATTTCGTTTACTTGCGGAACACGTTGGTGCTTGACGAACTTGTTGTGTGTGAGGTTGTGAATGGGAACATGTGTGAGTGGAGGAGTGTTAAGAACGCGGCGGTTGACAGCGGAACGAGGATGGTGTTTTGCGGCGGTGATGTGCGGATGGAGGATTTGCAAAGAGCCGTGTCGTTTGGGGAACAGACAATTTGCATGAAACAACTTGAAATGTAGTGGTTGGCTAGATTATCTTTTTCATGTTTTTTTGTTTGTTTCTTCATTCTTAATTGAAGCGCTTATCTTTTTGAGTTGATGTGTTCGTATAACTCATGTGAAAGAAACGCATGCGGCAATTATTACTCTTATCTATAGACAAAGACTAATGAAAAAACAATTATATAGACAAAGACTCGTCAGAAATTTTGGAGGGTTAAATCATGTTTAAAAAAATTCTTTAGACAAAAATGGTTTATACTATCAATTCCAAAAAGATAGTATTCCCTCCGTTATCTTTTTAAGTATTACTTTTTTTCATTTTTATACATACCAAAAAAAATTAATAATAATAATAATTTTATAAATGATATTTTTTCTTTTATCTATAATATCTTAATTATAAATTATTTATCATATACATTTAACTTTTTCTTTTTCTATTATAAATAAGGGACAATTTTGATAAAAATATAATTAGTACTATATAAAATTTTGTAAATGACAATTAAAAAAATAAAAAATTATTTTAAAAGTGACACTTAAAAAGAAAATGAGAGAATACTATGAGATACGAAAGTGTTTTCATTAAAATTCTAAAAAATATTTTTTTTTTTCTTGAATTACTTATTCTTGCAAGTAATTCTTGCATAATATCAATGCAACACTTTTTTTATTAATATTTTTTATTTTTATTGTATTTTAAATCAAATAATAATCCAACTTTCAAATTAGTCAAAAATTTAATAAGACTAACATAGTTAGGCAACTCAATCTAGATATAAAATTTTAATGGCTAACAAATTATATTATGTTGAAGAGTAAAGTATGTCATTATTTTCATCTTTATTGTTGATAGCATTGGAAACTCGCGCTTTAAATTCTCTTCATGCTTCAAATATATTTTCATAGGCTTTATCATGATGACCTTAGGAAGTTAAAGTACTTAAGTGTTTTTTAAGGCAATCTAAATTGTTGGTAGTGTCTATCATCTTTCATTCGGTAAGCCATTACGCGATCTTAGCGGAGTCAATTATACAGTTTCCTAAGGCGTTACTTTTGTTTTTTCGTCATTTGTGTTTCTACTACATATTATTTTCGTTGGTTAAAGGAAGTGGTTCCCTTCATGAGTCAAAAATAAAAAATGGATACCTCTATCTCTTGGGTTGATCATGCATTTTCAGCAACTTCTTCTACTTTCGCTCAAGCAGGTAGCCTCGAAGGGGTCTTCCTCAACTTGAGTCCTTCTTCCAACGGGGGCATATTGATCCTTAAGGAGGATGCAAAAATTTGCAGTGATTATGGTGAGTGCACAATTCCTTTTTGTGAGTGTGCTTTCTCAATCTTGGGTCTCCGCTTGCCCTTCAATAGTTTTGAAATATAGGTTTTGAACCATCTTATGATTGTTCATTTGTAATTGAATCATGTGCATTAGACCTATATCAAAGTCTTCTAGTATTGGTGTAATTATTTGGGAGGAATGCTCACTTTATACTTGTTCTTCCATCTTTTTAGAGTACAATGTAACTCATTGAACGATGCACAAGGTCAGAGGTTAATTGGATTAGAACAGGTTATTCGTTATTTGGAAGTGTTTTCTGATGGTGTGAAACATCTTAAAAATTAGTTGTTTTAGGTTACCCCTCTTCACGAAGAGGCTCATGCGACAGTATGCGCCATAGGGACCAAGACATAGAATATGTGTCTTGGTTTATTTCATAAGTTTGGAACTAAAGCCATTTTTTGATGAGGAATAGATCATACGTCCACAAGGAGAGTCACTCGTCCAAAAAGGAAATTTATTTGTAGAAACGGTTGACCACCTTCTTCAAATAGTTAGGCTACATCGAGGGTGTTGTCTCATTGGATGAAATCTCAAAGAAGTGCTTGAAAAGACTCATTAAAACTCGCTTGCTGATGGACGCTGGTACTAAGGAAGAGAGGAACATCATTTTTAGTAAGCTACGCGTATCTTATCTTCTGCCGCCATTTTTTGTTACCTGCAATGCCCCTAACATTTTGATAATTGTCATATACAAATTCAATTAAGAATAAGGGAATAATCTTCCAAATGAAGAAGGAGGAGAATTCAAGTTGTCTCAATGATTATTGGTCCTTCTAACACTCCAACATTAATCAATGTTCATGCTCTGGCCTAAATGGTGAAAACTTTGCCTCAGTCCTCTCAGTTGAAATCTCGAGGAGGAATCGTCTTCGTGCCTGCCCTTGAAGTTGGTATTGTAGGTGATTATCTAAGGGCGTCACACATGTCAGGTCGTTCGGCTCATGTCCTTTTGGCTAGGTTTGGGCCTCGCACTCCAAAGGAGCATTGGGTGTCTAATTCAAAAAATGATTGTTCTTACCTTTGTGATTTAACCGACGAGGCCCTTGAGGAGGAGTCGTCGAACCTATCAAATTACATTGAGCATGCTTCTACTGTGTTGACCATTGGTGGGTCCAATCTTTGGGATGCTCTTTATCTAATCGAAATCATAAGGAGAGGTGAATACTAGATAAGAACGTCCATAATCCGACGCTTCAACGAGACATGTACCTGCAAGAAGTGCAAAAGGCTATTGTTTATCTTATCGAGATAGGTGATGCCTCGAGTGCCTTAAATCTACCTAGTTTGTTAGTTGACCAGGTAAAACTCTTGGCGAGGGAAGTAGAAAAGAACGAAAAATTTATAGCTTATGCTCAGGTTGCTCTGTCTGCTATGGAGGCATCTCTCTTCAATATTCTGGAGGACCTTGAAAACTTGCCCCTTGAAAATGTCTCTTTGGTCTGAAAATTAGATGAATCGTCTAATGCCAGTCTCACGCCTGTTTCTAAATATTTTGAGAATGCTTTACTGCAAGTAGGTCATTTTTACTCTCCTTTGTATATTTAGAGGGAGCAGGTACGACCAAACTAGATAATTGAAGATGTAAAAGTCATTTCGCTCAAAGATTAGTGGGGTCTTTCACCATGTTTTTTTTGTAAATGTAATACCCTGCATTAGGAAGCGTGAGTATATGAATTTAAAATTAATATATGGCTTTTACTTGATTAAGGTGTATGTGTTGGATCTCAAGTTAATTACTTCAAACTTTGAATTAACTTACTGAGGAACCTTGTTTTGTAGGTGTGATACGGTGGGAGAACTGACTTGAGGTTTTGCGTTTGTGTTCGCAAATGTTTCGGTTTAGCAAGAGTCGCCACCGACTTTTTATTTTATCCAAAGGAAAGGTCAAAAAGCACAGGAAAGACCTTTGAGAAGTTTTCTTGGGTTCGGGGGATAGATTATGAAAAGGGAAGGTGCAAGCACCCTTTTCATCCATGGTTATCCATGGGCTCTTAGTTACTTGTTTAGATCACTTGCTTTTGCTTTTCAATTGTTTGAAATGGTGCTTTGTGTGTGGTTTTGAAAATATTTTGAAAAGAGGCCTTTTGTCTAGGCAACATTTGTAATTATTCTTGTTTGAATGTATACAAAGGTGTATTGTCTTTTGAAAAGATGTTTCAATGTTTGAAAAGTTTGAAAGTTGTTTTGGGAAAATGTTTTGAAATTGTGTGTTTTTGAAATTAGCAAGGATGTTTGCAAGTTTTGATCAAGTAAATAAGAGTTGTCTACCCTATCTACTCAAAGATCTTTCCTATACATTTTTAACCCTTTTGACAGTGTTGTTTTACCATTGCATTTGGTAAATAACCTTGTATTTGGATGTTAAACGGGACAGGCGCGGGTCATCGTATTGACCATGATAACAATTGTGCTAAGTATATTTAGCAAATTTTTGAGGGACTAGATCATTTTGTTTAGGCAACCAAGATAGCGCCATCGAGGGACTATGATCTTTTGTTTTGTTTTTGTTCTTGTTTTTGCCAAGATACTCAACATGCATACCATGGCCATTTTAAAGGCAACAAGTGGAGGAAACCCTAGGGGTGCATGTGTGCATTGTGTTGTCATTTTCATGCATTTTATGTCTTGTATTAGGTCTAGCTATTTATTTTGATTTTGGATATTGCATACAAACCCTAATCTCTATCATGGCATATTTGAAAGCAATAAATGCGTAAAAGAAATCTACGCTATTACAACATTGGTATGGGGAGGGGGATACAATTTTGAATGGGGAGTATTTGCAAAAAAATAAAACCTTAAGATTAACTATTACATCCAAATTGAATTCTTTGTATCAAACAATAAATAAGCAAATACTTAAATAGACAATTAAATAAATATGCAATATATTATAAATATGTAAAAAATGCCTTTGTTTATTTTTATGTATGTAAAAATAAAATATTTAATGTATTTAAAAAAAGTAAGAAAATAAAAGATTATTTTTTGTTAAGGGTAAAAACCCTAATTTTTTGGTTTAAGAATATGTATATATTATAATATTTGTTTATGTATAATAAAATAAAAATATATACAAATGTCAAAAAATAAAAATATGTTAGAAAAAATATTATTTGAGTATATAAATAATAAAAATAAAAGTATAATTTTTTTTGTAGTATTTACAAGTTTATTTAGAAAAAATAAAAGTATATTATTTAAGAAAACTATTTTTTATGTTAGAAAAAATAATAAAAAATACAAAATAAAATGTGAAAATAAAATAAAATATTTTTGGTAGTTTTTAAAGTTTAGAAGAATAAAATAAAGTTAGAAATAAAAAAAAGAAATGAAAAATATAAAAATATAATGAAATGGGCCAGAGGGGTGTAATCAGCAAGCTGGGGGGCGCCAAAAGTGAGAAATAGCCAGGCCTAACCCAGCTACTTCATCTTCAACCTTCGTTCAAACAAAAACGCGCGTTCTGTGTACAACTTCGTATCTCCTGTTTCAGTGCTTAAAAACAAAAACTTGTAACATGAAAGTTGTAGAGCATAATCACACGATTCCAACCATATAAAGAACTTAATCTAACTCTCAAAGACCAGAGAGAATTTCTCTGGCCCTAATTTCTAACCTAACTTTTTCAGAAAGTTCATCAATCAAATTCTCTCAACATGGTTAACTTAAATGA